CTCCCACCTACAGCATAAGTCCCAAAACCAGCCAAGGTCCCTGAGAATCGCAGGTGAGTTGGGAATTGGGAGGGACTGGCTGGAAAACGTGTGCCCTGGCAGGAAGAGCTGGTGTGTGTGTGTGTGTGTGAATTTTCCAAATTCTGCATCTCTTCCAAAGAATTTAGTTCAAGCCACAAACCCACATATCCATTTAAATGAGAAAGCTGGGAGTTTATGAGGTAATAGCAAATAAGTGTAAAATCATACATTATGTATGGCTTGTGTCCATTACTTCTGTGTCAGGGTAGAATCTAATCTATGAATCTGATCTCAGTGTTTATTAATAGAAGATTTGAGTTTCTTCCTATTGCCCAGGTGATTTTGTTTTCTTACAAGATTGTTGGCTGTTTCTAAACAAAAGCTCTGATAAACCCCAAATATTGGAAAGGCAGGGATAACTCAACAAACACTTCAATTGCCACAGGAGGACTGGGAAGGGAAAAACATAAAAGATTAAAAAACTAAAATATTGAGTATTGCCCCAAAATTTTGAGTATTAGCTACATTTGGAAAAAAGTGTGCCCTTGCTTGTTAATATTCTAGGATATAGAATAGTAGAAATTATAATACATCTACTCCAATCCACCTGAAAACAGTGGACAGCAATAGGAATGGGAGCTGCTGATTTCAAATAAAACACACACTGACTGTGTTTCCCCCACCCCGGCTCCCTCAGCATGGGTTGCAGTTTAGTGCTATTAGACCCAGTTCAGCAATATTTTGAGATAGTAGAACAATTGGTTTTCCTCTTAATTAATATGCACTCAAGTCTGCAAATCCCATTAGCCTTTCCTGGCATAGGAGGTAAAATTCAGGAAGATCCTGAGCAGGAAACATTCACACAGTAATTCATGACAGCTTCCAAAGACAATTAGGGCAAACCTGAACTGTCTGCAGCCTGGTGCAGCAGAAAGGAAAGGTTTTGTGCATTTTATTTGAGGCTGGATTAAAACATTACAGATTAAAAAGCTGCAAATGAAGAACCCTTAGATAAGACTGACCTTCTTGGTCAGAACAACCACTGATGCTGCTCCCCAAAGTCTGAGGTACGACCACCACAGCAGCCTATGAAAAACCTCAAAATATATTAAATTTCATTTTAAAGTAGGTCAGATTTTGTCCTGTGCATATATAAAGGATCACTTCCCTAAAGAGAATGTTATTTGGCCCTTTGCAAAAATTGGAACTGATTCTCATCAGATTCTCATTAATTTTCTGGATAATATAGAAAACCAAATGGTCTGTTCTACTCAAATAATATGAACATGCTGCCTAATCCATATGACTAGAAAAGAAGCAACTAGTTCAGATTCTTAAACACCATTCAGAAAATGCTCTCAAAACTATTTGGATTCCTGTCATCCAAGAACACTTTATAAGGTTTACGTACTTTCTTCAATTTTGACATAGTTTTTCAGATCCATATTAAGGGGCTGATGAATGCTTTAAAAATACAGCTCAGACTATACACTTGCTTGGAGAAATCCTGAATGGTTCTCATCATTCTAGCTTTCCAGCTCTAAAATTTAGAGCTAGAACAAAAGCTAAAAAAAGTAAAAAATGCTGTTTGACCCTCTCCCTCAGTGTCTGTGTGTATAACTCTGACCTTAGTCTGCTTGTAAAACCTTTCCTTTTGTGCACAAGTATGTTTAGTTTTTAAGACTCTGTCACACTCTCAGCACTCATGCAGACACTGAGCTGTTCACACCCACATTTTTACAGGAGTGCTTTGCAGTGCTAGAAGCAGATGGACTGGCCTGCTGCTTTAATCCATTCCACCTTGCATCATTTCCAGGCAATAACCTTATATTCTCAACTGAAATATAGGATATTTCAGTCATAAAGCAGCCTGTGGTCATAAAGTATTTAAAGACATTTCAGTGTCACTTAACAAGGAAATATTTAGTCAATCTACTACTATTACAGTAATGCTCAAATTGCCATCTGGAAGACCCAGATTCAAAAATCAGTCTCTGGATTCCAGGCTCAGCTCACGAAGGCCGAATACATTGTAAAGAAGATGCAATTAGTCTCCGGGGAAAGGCTTCTGCAGGCTGACGTTGGCTGTGCAGCACTCAGCACACTCACTCGGGTGGATAAAAATAACATATTGAAATGGCAGCTGCTCAGCAAAGGAAGAGGATTTGAGCAGGGATAAAAATATACCTTAAAAGAGGGGGAAAAAATGGTAAAATGCCTATCCAAAGCATTAAAGGGTAATAGTGAATGTAGTGAATCACTGATACTTAAGATTCACCTTTTAGCCTCACACAGGAAATGCTATTTATTTCATAAAACAAGACAACCCAAGAACATAATTAATACTGTCCTAAACAAATCCAAGGCTAGCACAGCTTAATCACCTCAGCCATAAGGAACACACCGCAAATGGATTTTGTTACATTTTGAAGAATTCCTATTTATGATTTTATTTCAGAACCCACACCCTGCTGCTCTGAACATATCATTGAAAGATAGAAATTATTTCCAAGAGACAGCGGGTTCCAAACTGTGACTGATGTCTATGATCATGTCCATACCCTAACTTGTTTTGAAGCCACATTTTAACATAGTGCCTCTTTCTCTTGAAGTCCATTACAGTATGAAGGGGGTGCTGCCAGTGCTGCACACTAAACTCATCTCGAGCCAGTATTAAAGCCTCTCACAGACTCACAAGATAGCAGTGAGACCTATTAGATCATCTAAATTATTTCCATGCCATTCTGAGATCGCTCTCTCCAGTATGTTTTTAGTGTCTTGCCCAGGCTATTTTTAAAGTCTCAAACCCAGAAGCTTTTCCTTTCTGAGAGTATCCAACTTTAGTTCAAAGCACTGCATGCACTGATTAACCCATTTAAAATGCAAAGAGAAAAACTTCTTATGGCTCTGCTTATTTAAATGCAGGTGTTTGAAATGGCAAGCAAGATTTAGCTGACAACCATCATTTGTCCTATTTTAAGATTTCTGGATCCAAGGTTTAAATAAAGATGGGGCAAGAAAAGCGAAAACAGGAGAGACAGGATCTGTGTTAAGACGAAATCATACAGCCACTGACACAGATGGAAAATAAACACAAAAGGCTTGTGATCACGAGCCCCACTTCAGGCTTGGTGTGGAATGTTTTGTACCAGCAAGTCACGATTTTTTTCCAGCTGTATCAGTTGGTTTAACTAAAGGTATTTCCTCTCCTTACAAACCCCACCCTACTTAGGGATGATCTCTGCAGCATTACCACGGCACAGCGGATGCTGGTTTGAATAAAGATCCATTCCTAAATATATTACAGGAACTAAGTCACTGTGTGCTGTGCCAGAGCAGCAGCAGTCAAATTCAGTGTACTGCACATTTCACTATAAGCAAACTTCATGTTCTTGCCGAGGAGACTCTTGAAAATGAGGCTTCACAACAAAGTATTTCACGTAGGATCACTTAAATTTCTCATCTCAGTTTGGGGCTTTTTTCTATATAGTTATATAACTATTAGCCCTGATACAGAGTAATTTGCAAGAAACCTAAGAAATAATTCCCAGAACAGGACCTAGTTGATATCACTGTGTTTCAGTCAGTCTGAGACAACACATACAAAACTTTGGCCAAGCCACAGATGACTCTGCAGAGGGGATTAACAACCAAGCTAAAGCAGGAATTAACAAGTATCAGAACTATTTGTATTCTTTGCTGACATACTTATTCCATCATTCTCAAAACATGTTAAGCACTCAAAAAAAAAAAAATTTCCAATGCAAAGAATCCTTTCAAAGCACTTAAACGAAAAATCACACTGCTTACAGAACTCCCCTTACTTAGTTGCTGAATATTAATACACGTGGAGCTGACTTTGTTAAATTCAAATTTAAAGGGAAATTTTATTTGTTCTATGGCCATGTCACCTTGGGCCAGATTTCAGCAGCTGTAACCTGGTTTGGGATGGCCTGGCAGTTGAATAGAAGGTCTTGGGGCAAATCCCAGATGCTGCAGTCAAGGAAGGGCACCTGATTCTTGGTTCTCTATACAATGCTGGAGCCATAGGATGCTGCCAAGACAGCATATAAACCAAATGAAAGCTATTCATACGTGTCACTTATAAAATCCTGGTCCCCACTACGTAAGGAGGGAATGTATTTTGGGGTTTTAATCCATTTGGCATTACTTTTATCTACAGCAGGCTCCCCTTGTCAGTTCAATAGGAAAGAGTATTTTGTGGTGCTTCTCATCACCCTGAATGGCTGCACAGCACTGGGGATGGGAAACTCAAGCTGCCTTTCCAGACCACAGCAAAGGCAACAAACACAAGTTATTGCCAGTTTATCAGAGGTTGGTCTTCTGAGCAAGAATCAGTATTAAAACAAGTCAGATTTCATTATCACCACAAGCCTTGATAGCAAAAGAAATTTACTTGCAGAAACCACAAGTGCAGGTTTGTTTTTTTAGTGGTCTCATGACTGGTAACAAAACTGAATCCTAGATAAGAAGCGTGTGTGAGAGTTTGACTTCTCTACTCATACAAGGAACCACTGAACTGAAATGGATTACTCATTCTACAGAACAAGAAACTAAAGTTCTGAATTGTAGACCACAAGCAGTTTCTATTCAGACAAAATTATACACAGACAATACTTTGAATACTTTGTAAGTTGAGGTATTTCCAAAGCAAGATTACCTTTGCCAAAAAACTAAAAAAAATAAAAAGAGAGAAATTCCAGATGCATGTCAGTTCAACCTCCCTTTTTCTTTCCCAATGGTACCAAAAGAATCTGCAATTTAAGGCAGCACAGAACTGAAAAAAAAATGTACCTGTGTTGCAACAGCTTCATCTACAGAAAGAGGGTGCCCACCCCAGCTGACCATGCAACAGGTGCACAACGTGACTTTTCCTCATCAAAACCAAAGTTTCTTATTCTAAGTAAGCACCTCTTCCCAATTATTTACTGCAGGAAATAGTCTCTTTCTAAATTTACCTTTCAGTGAATCATTTTCAGCCCTCATTATGTCAATTAGTGAGTTCTCCAGTGAATGCATGTCGAAAGTCCTCGTGCGATCCTGCAAGCAAATACAAACAGAGCCAGTTTAGGCAACACACAGCCTTAAACGAGACCATCTGAAACACAAAAACTTCAGTTTTCTTCTACATTACTACAGCAGAATGAAGCAAAAACCATACACCAAAGGCAGGCTGATACAAGGAATATTAAAAATTAGAATATTCTTAAATAAAAATCTGATCTATAGTTATTGTAACCAATCATTTAAGAACCCAATTCAATATTTAGTTTGCATTCCTTTCTACACAGCAAAACTTTGTTAAAAGTAATTTCACAGTTAGGAAGTAAAGATCATATCCTGGGAGACAGAATTGCAAGGACAAATCATAAAACAGGTATTTCGGTCCAAATTTAAGAAATTTTAAATTCCAGAAACATGTAGAATTTCCTCCACCTAAACAACCATCTCGACACCTGAAATAGTTGAATTCTGTGCAGTCAGTTCAAATTCTACATATTTCTAAGGTATTCCACACAAGCAGGAGTGTTCCAAACAGTCCCATTTACTGGGTGACAACTTTGCTTTGATTTTTAATTCTGTGAATTCACAAGTTTGGCATGCCAAGCATTTCTAAAATTAAAGGAGGACTCAACAGATGGGAGGCACAATGTCTCCTGTACTTTACTGTTTCATTACCTCCAGCCACCTGAAGTATATTACTACATATTTCTGCTTCCTATTAACCAAAGGCATCATTTAACACATGGGTCACATTTTCTCAATCAAACAACAAATTCCACATCCTATAAATCTGATGTTACAGCAACATAAAATATCCTGGCACTGCCTTATTTTAATTGGCAAATTCAGAATAACTGAAATTTCTTGTAAACTCTGAAATCTTTACAGTACCTTATAAGGTCACAAAGGGAGGCAAAAAGTCACCATAGTTCCCAAAATTATTCACTTATCCATGTTATCTGTGTATTTATACATTTGGATTTGGAAAAAAAAGTATACAATTATATTAATCCACCTTTAATTTAGTTTTTCTCTGTCCAAGAAGCGCTCTAACATCAATTCTAAAGATTTTATTTCATTCCTGTTCTAAGGAATCCCCTCTGAACCAAGATCAAGCATTAGAAAGTATCTGTTCTAACAAGAAAGCAAAATATGAATAGTTCAAAACAGACATTTTTTTGCTTTAAGCCGCTTCTCCACAACTATTGTTATTACAGCTCCAAATAATGTTTTTTGTCCCTATCACTGGCTGTGAACCTGAAATTTCTCCAAAGCACACAGATCCCGCTTGGAACATTTTTAAGAAGCAGTGGTGAAGTAAAACAGGGTATTGCACAGGCTGTTGTGTATCAGGTTATAATGGCCTTTACTCCAGTGCTGAAGCAGCAGCGACTGCCTGTTGCAAGGGGGGTTCTTGATATCACACAGATCAGATCCAAAATGATCAGTCATTCTGGACTTTAAATACCTCATACTATTTGAAGAGCAATGACACACCAGCTCCTAGAGTCCTGATCCATTTCCAAGCTGTAAGTTACACTCCGACCACTAAAAACCCACTGTTTTTCAATTAAATTTCCTGGTATTTTTCCTCTCTTCAGAACAGTTTATTACTGAGACAGAACAGGCGATGTATTTCAACCCGGATGTGCTGCATTTCAAATAGCATTAGAAAGCCCAGGGTTTGGAACCAGTTGCTTTATTAGTCTAGCAAATATCAAATTTACTATAAAAAGCAAAGCACTGCCCTGTCTCTCCTCAGTATTTATTTCCGTGGTCATTTCTATTACAAGATAATTGAGGCACCTCAGAGAAACCATTGCGAGCATTTAAATTCTAAAACTCAGTGTTTTACACATTTCTTCCTTTATAAGCAGTATTTAGTTTATTGTTTTGACTTCTCCTAGTTCATAACTTAGTTCACACTCTAGTTACATTAAAATCCTTTAGCAGGATTGAATACAAGTCCTGGGGTCTTGGATCCATTAGGATTCAACAGCTGGGAAACTCAGGAATGGGCACTAGAAGACAATATCTGCATTTCCAGCAGTCCTCACAACAGGACAACAGAAAATAGCCTAAAACACAGGTTGGAAAAAACCTGACATCCCTCAGTAGCTTCTCCTTCCTGCATTCTGGTTTTCAGTGCATTGTATTAACATCAAGTGCACCCCGTGAACAGCTACAAAATTCTCATTTCACAAAGTGCAGAACCTAAGTATTTCCATGTCTTTGTGGAATTGTGGCACTTAACATTTCAGTTGTCTGAGAGACACGAAGGGAGTAATCCAGGCCAAGTAATTTCCAGTTTATTGTGCCCTGTATGTGCTGGGACACGTGAGCCAAAGCGAGTCTCTTCTCCCTAAAACGTCTGTGTTGGGTTGAGCTGTAAACAAAGGCTTTGCTGCAATGGTAAGTTTTCAACACTGAGAACAGAGAATTTAAATATTTGAGGGGAGAAAGTGGAATTGAACTGGTTAGCTAACAGGGACATCACGTTCTCCAACAGAAGTTTTTTGTGGTGAGGAGTTTACAGTTTTCCCTTTCTGAGGGAAGCAGCAAGGTGTCACTTTTTCAGTGTAAGGTCCATAAGCTGCAAATCACACTGCAAACACTTTAAAACATGACCCTGTGCACCGATACAAAAGATTAACTGGTCAGCAGCTATTGGCAATCCCATAAAAGGAGGAATGGCTAAAATGTGGCCCACACTTACACTCTCTAGTGGTTCCAGTCACTTGTCACAGCACTGGAGAATTCCAGAGGCTGGAGCACCCTCAAAATGCTGCCATGTTACTGTCTCTTGCCTATTTTTCCAACTTTCCCTTTCTAATCATCACTGTCAATGCATGGTGCTGAATGGCCCCTGGGAAGATCGGCCTTAGTTTGGCTTGTTGGAGTTTGCTCCTCCGTGTCTTTGCTTATCAATTAGGAGAGAGCAAACCATGTTAAACACAACTATTGAATTTTGACATATTCCTGAAAGTAATGCAGCAGTTCCCCTCTCTGGAAACGCAGAGAAATTCAAGAATTTGGTATGCCACTAACCCTGTGTACATCTAGGCAATGAAAAGATGTCAGTCCTAAATCAAGACCAGCCAAAAAGCTAAGCTCAATTGGGTCAGAGATTTGCACAGTGCTTATAAAAAAAAACAAAAAAATCAATTAATTTAGTTGATTGCTTGCCCAGATATTGAAAGTCACCATTGGTACTTTTTAGAATTTTTATGCAAATTCAGGTCCTTTTATAGCAAAAATGTTTTGAAAACAGTAGCCCAGATTTCGTCAGTCTTAACTTCCAAGATGGTCAGTGCATTTTATGAGAAACACATCTGAAATCTATCCATGTATTATATACCTGAAGTAAAATTAAAGGCTGGTAAAGGCTAATGGTAGTGACCATATCACTGAAGAAATGCCTAACTCTACATTTCACTCCATAACATCAAAAATAGCTCTAACAGTCAAGATACTGATCATGAACTGGTAACTAGATGTGATACATTTTATTTATGAGTTATAAAGCACACAAACTATACTGTGCCTAGGAAAAAACTGATGTTTTCTTTAAAAGACTTCATGCAGAGAGAATTAATAACAACATGGTGGTGGTTTTAATGAATCAATTCACGAAGTTACAGTGCTTTCCATGGAGCTGAACTGCTCACTGGATACTTATTTATTTATTTAGAAAATAAATAGGGGTAATGACTACCCTGGACTAAAGCAGAGTGTGCAAACTTCAGTAACAAAATGTGGCTACCACAGCCTGGTATTATTTCCCTGGCTTGATCACAATAAGTTGGGCTTTACACAAGTTTGTTTAGGGCATCTAAAATTTTGCTTTATCAGAGGGCTCAAAGGACACACACATTTAGACCTGGGAAACAGAACTGAGGCAGACAGACATCATGTTAAACACAAGGCCACCAAAAAATAAAAAAAAAAAGAGAAAACCAAACCAAACATACAAGAAACCAATCAAACAAACACCACCGAGCAACAAAAAGAAAGAAACCTGCAGTCTTAATACATGACTATGTTTAAAATTTCAGTCAACATTTCAAAAGACATTCGTTACACATGATTTTGAACAAACAGTGCTGTTTTCACAATATACAAGAAGTGACAGCCAGCAGATCTGGTTAAGAACGAGCTATAGAGACTCTGAATGTTCTACAACAAACAAAACAGTTTTAGACTATAAACTGGCCATCTCTTTCTACAGAAAAATAAAATAATTCTGATTCTTCTACTGTCTAGAAATAATTTCTAAGTGCGTAGACTGTTCCTAATAATGCAACCTCACTGCAAAGAGAGAAGAATTCAGGGCTTTCATGTCATGACTTTGTCCTTGGACTCCTACAGCCTGAGCAAACCACTTCACCTCTGTGAGTACAGCGATCTCCGCCCTGGCACCCAGATTATTTTATGTTTAGAGATCTTGTAAGAAATGGAGCCACTGGTACAGAGGAAATCACTAAATTCTAATCCCTGTTCCAATTTTATTTTTCCAAGTCCAAAAACATTTCATTCCAAAAAGAAAGTCACTTGGTGCAAAGCACGTACGAGATGTACTGGGACATCCTCCCATGCAAAAGAAATTAAATGAATTTTTCATGCACAGGAAGACTATACTTTGCACTTTAAAAGCTCATGCCTAAATTCTCTTGCACGTCAGAAAGATGTACATTCAACTTAACTATGAAAGTGCAGATTTATTATATTTAATCTGCACCCACAGCACTACCATCACCTGAACAATTAAGATTCCAGAACCTGAGAGTTTCTATTCAGTACTTCCCATGAAGGGTCTCCCAGGGCTAAATCCCAAAATGTACAAAAAGTCAAGCCTGGCAAGGTATGAGCTCTTGTTGGTAGCTAAGTCTGGGCCTGATCTCTTAAAATAAGGTTTATCTGAAGGCCAGGGCATCAATAACAATGCCAAAGATGCCATTGCACCAAGAGATTTACTGAGGGTGACTAAGGAGTATTTATGGAGCAGCTGCAAGCGGGGCTTGCTTCATACATTTAAATATTTGTCAAACCAGATTATTTGTCAAATCAAAAAACTCACAACTACATTTGTACCCTCATTATAGCACAAGAAGCCTGAAACTTTCTGAAATCTTGTTCCTGTTTCCCATAACTCAAAAGCTGTGTGTCTCAGGCACAGTAAGGTGTACAGGGCGAGGCAATATCATCATATTTATCATCATAAATACAAGTTCCACATTTTTCTTTTAACTGCAAAACAAATTTGGACTTGATTATGCTTCTGGGTAAGCTTCTCCTCCTTCCCTCCACCCTGCAAATGCTGTATTCCAGCTTCCAGTTCAGTATCCAGTGAATTAAAAGCTTTGAATAAACAGGTTTTTCCTGAAAGGATGTTGCTGTATTCTGCCCGAATCATCTTTTATAGCTTCACCAGGGAACAATAAGAAGGAGCTGGAAAAGTTAAGTGGCACATCAGACAGGAGTTTTTTGGGGGAGGGCACAATTCTGGTTTAGTCAAACTTGAACTTTTTAAGTGTTAGAAATGACAGACCTTTATATACATTTCCAGTAACGTGTCTGATTCTATTTTAGCCACAAATTAAGTTTTCTATGTATCTTCTAGAAAATACTTCCCATAATATCTTGTGTTCTCACTCTTTATGCTGGGCTGCTAAGTCTGCAACTTTCAAAGCAAAATGCTTAATAAGAGTACTCCTTTTAATCTTAGGAAAAGACAAACATAATTCAAATAGCTTCTAACAAAAGCTCTCTTTAAACAGAAACCCTGAGGTCAAAAACACACAGGAGGGCCAAAGCCCAAGTATTAACGTCAGTAGTAAGTTTATAAAACAAGAACAGTGTTAACTTCCACAGCACTTAACTTGTGCATGTCATACCACATTAGAGTGCTGCTAATCCCACAGATCAGTAGCTGTGGGGAACAGCACACAAAACACTAATTACTACACAACTGATGTAGTTATAGAAAAATGGGTGAACAGGTTTAAAAATCCAACTTTAAGTATTTATTCTATTTTCAAATGATAGCTTGAGATTTCTTGGAATAATTGCTGTTGCTAGAATAAAAATGGCATTCTGCAAAACAAATAACCTCTTTTTTTTGCAACCAGCTCTCGTGAGTTATGAAAAGGTTCCTCAAAACCAACTATTAAAATAAAGGGGCATGGTAAAGAAATTTACTTGCAAAATCTTTTCAAGAGGAAAGTTTAGCAAGTGCATTCAAGAGGTTATTTTTTAATTCCAGTTCCCTGCGAATTTGTTTAATGCACTTATTAAACCAACCCATTTCTGTGGGCAAACAAATGCTGACGTACAGTTCAGAATTCAAACACATTTTGTAATCACGTATGTGTTTTCTCAAACATTCCATATCTGCCTGGGGGAAGAGCAAGTCTCTCTGGCACAGCCCCTGGATGGATTTGGAAGGGGTTATATACCTGGAAACCAGCCACTGTAGAAGAAAGGAAAAAACATTTTGAACAAGTGGATATAATGAACTGCTCTCATGTACAAAATTCTTTGAAATGGGCAGTTATTTTCAAGCCTGATTCCGGGAAGAAACACAAATTATTTTTAAGCATTTTTACAGAACACTATTGCTTCACTTGCTTGTGTCTTCAGAGACCAATTTAAAAAACATCGTCACACATTGAAGATGAGATCTGGGAACCTGGAAATGCCTATCAAAGCAAGATTTATGCATTGCATAACAGGCAGGATGTTCCACTCATGAGGAAGTGCAAGTACACAGCAAAAGGAAAGCCAAAACAATCTCGAAGGCAGTGCTGCCCTAAAACACAATTACTGAGCACCCAGTTTGTCAGTGCTGCTGGGAGACAAGTAGAAGGAATTATTTTAAAAATCAGTAACTTGGAAAGATGCAATAGTCACAGCCAAAGCATTTTCATGTATTAAATCTCAAGGAAGCCTGTCAAAGCCAAAAGACTCCATTTCTTTTCTTTTTAATTTTAATTCAGGAACCATTTTTTCATTTGGAGACCATTTCCTTTTCAAACGAACACACAAAGAACAATGGCTTTTCTCTTTTCAAAAGACCTTTGAAGGGGGAAGCCTGCCCAGTGGCTAAAGCACGACATCAAAACTTAATTTCATTAACAGATCTGGTAAGTCTTCTCTGACCTTGCTTTCAGTTCCAAGACATTCCTACAGACATGCTACTTCTGAAACATTAGGAGACAGAATTCCAAATGGAAAACACTTAGAACAGAAAGCACAGGGTTTGCATGCAGCCCTCCATACCAAGCAAGGCATCATCAAATTGCAAGGTTATCTAACAGATCACCACAGTATTTTCCTTTCATCTGAACCATTTGGAGCACCCACTTCATCCCAAGAATCGAAGGGCCACGGGCAGAAATGTTTGAAGTGAGCAGGAATTCACATCAGTGGCTTATAGGGATATTATGCAACATCGTCCTCTTCAAAGAGGAAACGAGCATTTACTCCTGGTTACCCTAAGATTCCCATCAAAACAGACAGAATTCTGTGTGTCAGCAAGCTCTGGAGTAGAGACAACCTCTGTGAAAAAAAAGAAAGTGATCCCCAAATATTTGCAGTTGCTGGTTTGCATTTTGCCTTCCAAAGAAACTAATTTTCACTAGATTGCAGCAACACTCGTTAATGATTTAAGCAGCAAAACATAAATATTAAATGAAAGGGATAGTTGTATCAAATTACTCCATTATGTTGCTGCAGCAAAGACAGCTTTCAACTATTTCCTAAACAGGAATCTAAGAAGATTCCAGTAACAAAATAGCCTTGTCCAGTACATGATTGCTACCACGTCTAGTACATGAAGGATACTTCATGTAAAGATAAATAGCTGCATGAACACAAATATATAATATGCTAAAGTCCTTATTCTGCTTTGAGGCAGGCATAAAATCAGCATAATCAAGAAAAAAATAAAAAGACATCAAAGGTCAAATTTTACATCATTTGTTTCCAGCAATTCAAGAATTCAGTGTGCTTTCAACACTCAGCTAAGTGACCAAAGGAGCTAAAGATTTTATACAAAAAAAAAAAAAAAAAAAAAATAAAAAACAGTTGTCCATGATGGCTTCAAAATTAATCAGCATCTTTCTAGGGCTGCAGTGCTGAAGTCCTGTTTTGCTGCCCTGCCCTTTTCCTCACAGAAGTGACAGTACGGGACTGGAAAGCACTTCACTCCACACTTTCCTTTTCTTGGCACGAAGGAGCGTCAGACTTGGTCTTGACATGTACAGCTTCATCTGAGTGTTTATGTAAACAGACACCAACATGCTACACAAAAATCATTTCTTTACCATGATCAAACTACATGTGTCTGCTATTTTATGTCTGGAACGGCATCCACAAGTCAAGGTTGACTTTGCCAGTTTTCTCTAATTTCCTTGATGCCGATCCAAGCACGTTTCTATCCCTGTGTATATATTTGGGGCTTATACACAGCAGCAAGGACACACTTGATCTCATTCTGTCACTCTGAACATCAGCTACGTGTCAGGGTACAGAGTGAATCAAACCCTGAGCCAAGTCTCGCTGCAGTGAGGCTGAAAAAAGACCAGCTCCAGCTGTGCCCTTTTTCTAATGGTTTCAGTGTATAAATTCCATATGCTGGATACAGGTTGACTATATTCATTACAAATCCCGACATTAAAATCAATTATTACTATATGCATTCTAAATTTAGAAGGGCTCTACCTGATATTGAACCAGCCAACAGCTCTGCAGTAGAAAAATGGGCCCTAAAGGAAAGTTACTGCCAGAGCTGCTGTGCTGTCAGCAGGCCCTGCACAGCACCAAAAACCAGAACAGTTTGCAACAACCCAACTATCCACAAACCCACAAAGTCATTATTAAAAGTATTTCTGTTTCTTTACACCATGAGACATATTGCACAGTTTTTATCTTCGAAATTATTTTAAAGTAGGTCACCCTGGGTGTCTTGCAGCATGGCCAGAAATACTGCAATCACGTTGAGATTTTTACTTTTGCCCTCATTTGAAGAGCTTGACAAACAACCCTGGAAATGTAATAGAGCTCTTGGGTTGTTTAATTCACCCTAAAGGAGTTTACAAAAGGCACACACACACATAAAAACTCGGTTTAACTAGTGGTCAGATGAAAAGAAGAGTACTTCTGGTTTAATTTCTACTGTAAATTAGGTTCAACATTATACAATTCTTTTCAAATTCATAACAAGTCAGCCCCGAAGGAGAGGCTGAACTGCCACTGCCTCCTGCCAGGAGAAGGCCATAGCAAAAATATAGGAGACCACCAACTGACACTGGTCCAGATCTAATTTTAGTGATGATTTAATGGTTTGTAACCAGAATTTGCTGCCATTACTGAGGAGAGCAAACTGCACCAATTACCATCCTGTATAAAAAAAAATCAAAGTTTCAAATAAAAAAAAAAAAAAGCTACACAAACTATGTTGCACTGCAAGTCCATGTGATACTCGAAAACAAAATACACTTTTCTCAGATGTGGTACATTCTTGAGTATTTTAAAAGGCCTCAGATGTTTCATACTCCAACAGGCAACACTTTTTTTCCTTATTCCTTTTTGTAGATACTTGCTGCTGGTAACTAAATTTCTTCATTGGCTATTTCTGTCTGTGTGTTAGTATTAAGCTGAAGGGAAAGTGGCTAATACAGGTGGCTGGTAGGCAATAGATATTTATCACCATCACTATTAAAAAACAACATGAATCACAGCTTGGAGGATCATTCCCATTATGACATTTCAAGTTCAATATGTTTTGGGGTTTTTTTAAGTTGCAAGCACAGAAATCCTACAACCAGGCTATGCTGTTCCAACACACTGCACTTCCCAGAGCATTTTAATGCACTTTGGGGTCATTTTTCTTATGGACAGAACAGAGTGTGCTCACCTGAAAGGGAAAAATGTTGTCAGCTCTATTCAAACTGTCTTCCATCCACGATTTTGGAGCGAAGGCCGAGCTGGGCCGGGCGTACTTCTGCAGCTGGATGTGATTACTTGCAAAATTCTTCTTTAAGGGCGAGATGGAGTTCAAGGGTGTTATCCCTCCGTTCAGTCCCCGGCGGTGGTCTCGACCTTGGGACCCTCCCCACCCACCGTATCCGCCGCCGCCGGGGCTCCATGAGGATGGTGTGGGAGAAGGGCTTTGGTAGCTGCTCCATGGAGAAGGTGGCTTGTTAAGATTATTAGCCAAATGAGGCAACTGATTAAAAGCAGCATTTCTGTGTGTGAATGGAGGTGGGTGAGGACTTGCAGGAGACCTCCTCTGTTGCTGATGCTGATTGTGATGATGCTGAAAATGGGGGTGATGAGGGTGGTGCTGAGAGAGGGGTCCGATCTGGGGGGAAAAGCTACCACCAAAGCCAGGGCTGACGTGATGTGGAAAATTCTGAAACAGCAGAGCACCATTATTAGCTGAGGCAGTAGGGACCCCTCCCTGATGGAAAAAACTTGCATCTTCATTGATTATTGTAGAAGAAGAAGGAGGAATAGCTGCAGACCAGTTACTAAAACCAGTCAGAGAAGATGCAGTGGATGTCAAGGGCTGTGTTGAAGTACCGAGCCCCGAAGCCTCTTGATAATCAAATCCTGTTAACACCGGCGATTCTATTCTGATTTTCTCCTTTCCATTGCCATTCTCTGAAGAATTATCACCCTGATTTTCTTCAGTTTTAGCTTTCTCGGGTTCAGAGAGCATGCCTGCTTCCTGACTTTGACCAGGGGAAAGCTGCTGTTTTTCTAGGGACTCTTGCTTTTCCTGTTGCTGAGTTTTAGATTTTTCTGACCCCAGAATCTCATCCTGAATATTATGGGCAGCTGGAGCAGGAAAGAGCCAAGCTGACCCAGCACTACTGCCATTGGCAGCTGTGTTATTATTTATAAAAGCAGCAGGGCTGGGGGTTGCATTTTGATGATGGTGTGGAGGCTGCAGATGTGGATGAAATCTGACTGGAAAAGCTGACTTATTTCCAGTGTTGTTTTGCACTAACACTCCAAACCCGTAATCCCCCATTTATTATATTTAGGGTTTGAATCCTCCCTGTAAGAACAAGTTGATGTTTAGTGTTTAGCTTGTCCTCTTCTGAGGCAAGATTAGCAAATATCCTGTTTTTCACTAGATATTCCAGTTTCTCCCTCCACGCTATTTGTTTCAGATTTGGATAAAGATGTTTTATCTTTTGCAAAAGATAGATTTCTTCAACTATTTCAATGTGTCAATTTGTGTCCGTTTCCTTCCTTTGGGCAGGAGGAAGGGAAAAATAAATCTTTGGTTCACAAAATAAGAGGTTTCCTTTTTCGAAAGGAAATGCACAGCAATGAGAGAAAAAGCTTCTGGCGAATAAGGATAAAGAGATTCTAACTATGCTGTTTTTTTCCTCCTCAGCAGCCTTGACTCGCCCATAAATGAGTTAAGAGGGAAGAAAAAAAATACAATGACGTCTGGTCCCTCAACCCCTTGGCAGCAAAAAATAGATTTAAATCTGGAATAATTTAATACATCTCTATAATCTAATATATATTTGTGTCCTGTTTAAAAAGAGTCTTTGCTGTGGACAAGGGAAAAATTTACCTCAGGATCTCAGCATTCAGAGGGTGAAAAGGGTAAGTGAGTTGCAGAAGAGGCTTTTCCCCCCTGCTGGGTTTAACCTATTATATTTAGCAATAACATACACCGTGTGTGTGTATGTGTGGTTGTTTAAAGGGGTAAGATCTTATCTCAGGAAATCAGTATTCTATGTGTGCTGGGTGGGGAGTGAGTTGTGCAGAAGGGTGGATTCTTGATGCTGCTCCTTCTGGGCTGGGTTTCAGAGCTCGCCAGACTCGCTTCTTATTTATGATCCAATATTCGCGTGTCCTTCATAAGAGTCCCGGCTGTCCGAGGAGGGAGGTTTTCATCTCAGAAATCAGCATTCACCGTTCGGGGAAGGGAAGGGAGGGGACAGCGCAGGAGGAAGGGGAAGGAGGTTTCTCTCGCTCTCTGCTGCCGGGAGGGTGTTTTGTGGTGCGGGGCTCGCCTCCTTCCCCGGGAATCGCGGCTTTCCCGCAGCCCAGCGAGCCCCTGGAGATGCGCTCCCTCCTCAGGCTCTCGGCGTCCAGCGGGGCCGGGCCGTGGGTGCCCCGCGTGTCCCCCCGCCCTCGCTCGAGCCGGGGGAGGCAGGAGGGGTTTTACCTCAGCAGCGCAGCAGCCTCCGGCAGGGAGGGGAAGGCGCGGCCGGCCGGGCTCCTCTCTCCCCCATGGAAGGTGTTTAAGCGGCTCTCCCGGATCGCCCGGCGGGGTCGGGGCGGGCTCTGTGTCGGGGCGCAGCGCTCGGGGCTCCGGCGGCGGCTGCTCGGGGCGCTCGGTGCCCTGCGGCTGCTCGGCTCGGCTGCGGGCGGGCCGTGCCCCTCATGGACCGGCCGCACCGGGGGGGGGGTTCTCCGCGGGGACGCTGCTGCGAAGATCTGCAAAGACCAGGAGACCGACAGCCTTCGGTAGCCGGCGACGTGTCCCCGGCGCGGAGCCTCCGCTGCCACCGCCTCGTTTCGCGTCTTTTTTTCCGTGTGTTTGCTGCCGCCTCCCCCGCCCCCCACCCCCCCGGCGTCCGCCGCAGCCGGTGCCTCGCTGGTCCCCGCGCGGCCGCTGCCCAGCCCGTGCCGCCTGGACCGAGCGGCCGCACCAAATGACAACCAGCTGGCGGGGGCCGCGCGGCGCTTCCGGGGCGGTGGCGGCCGCGCCCCCGGCCCGCCCCCGGCCCCGGCTCCGCCCGCCCGGTGTCCGCTGCGCGCCGCCATGTTTGGTAAGGGCAGGAACACCCCGGCTGGAGCGGCCGCCCCGGTGCTCGGTGCGCCCGCCCGCAGCGCGGCCGCCATGTTGAGTGTTGGCAAGAGGTCAGGCGGATGCCGGCGGGGCCGCCATCTTGGAGTGAGGAGCGCGGCGCCCGCCATGTTTGTGCAGGGCAGGGCGTCACCTGTCACCGCGCTGACAGTGTGTCTGTGGTGTGATATAGAGGGGTCTGGGTTGGAAAGGGGCATTAAAGATCATCAAATTCCACCTCCTGCCATGCGCAGGGACACCTGCAACCAGACCAGGTTGCTCAGAGCCCCATCCAACCTGGTCTTTTAACACTTCCAGGGGTAGGGCACCCACGGCTTCTCTGGGCGACCTGTGCTAGAGCCTGAACACTCTCACTGGGAAGAATTTGTCCCTATATCCAACCTAAATTTTCCCTTTTCAGAGGGAATGGCCGTTCTCCTTTGTCCTTTCACTCCAGTGCCTGATGGAGAGTCCCTCCCCAGTTTCTTTGTAGCCCTATCAGATACTGGAGGGGGCTGTGAGGCCTCCTCACAACCTTTTCTTTTCCAGGCTGAACAATCCCAATTCTCTCAGCCTTTCCTCATAGCAGAGGTGCTCCATCGCTCTGATCATCTCAGTGCCTCCTCTGGGCTCACTCCAAGCCCGTGTCCCAGCTGGGTCCCCAGAGCTGGAGGCAGCTCTGCAGGGGGGTCTCACCTGAGCGGGGCAGAGGGGCAGGATCCCCTCCCCTGCTGCCCACGCTGTGGGATCAGCCCAGGACACACCCAAGTCCTTCTCTTCAGGGCTGCTCTCAGTCTCATGGCTAATATCTACAACTGAATACTCCATGAAAGGCTGCCTTTTTGTAACATCCTTCAGCACCCCTGGACTGCATCCCCTGCAATGGCTTGGGTTGGAAGGGACCCTAAAGCCCATCTTGTTCCATCTACTGCAGGTCCAGTTTATACAAGAGTTCAATTTGGGGATGGGCGCTCTTTTTGCACATTTGCAAATTAAAATACGCTAATAAAAATATAGTTCAAAATAAGTAACAAGATCTAGCGAAATTAAAATAACTATATGTAGATACATCAGTAGAAAAATCAACTGTAAAAGGAAACATGCAGAAACTTTCCCTCAATAGTTTTCATTTAGTAGTGGGGTGTCCACTACTACTTGCTCCAAGACTTTTCTGCCCACTCAGTCATCTCATTGTAGGTTTGGATGATGCGTCTTTTTTTTTTTTTTTGCGTCTTTTACCAAACCAAGTATTTCCCAACAATTTTATTAAATAAGCTTTTTGTATGCAACCGTAGATACCTTGTTTCATTGTGTGAAAACGGACTTGTTTACATATGGTGAAAACATCATTGTGAAAATATAATTACTGGGTTATAATTTCCCCTTTTGTTTACTGCTTGCAACCTATGTGAGCCCATCTGATACTAAGTATTATTTTCTCTGTATTTTTCTAGTCATACTGTTATTATCATCATTATCATCAGATTCAGGGTTAACAGGCACTTCTGTCAGGATGCCATGAACTTGGCTCTAGCAGCAGATTGCTATTCCATGAAAGACTGGGAAAGGCTGAGTAGATGGCCTTAATTTAATTTCAGGCACACCCTTGCAATGCATTAGGGTAGATGCAGATCCACTAGAGTGATACGAGCAGAACGACTTCCAAAATCTGACTGTAATCACTTCGCTTGACAAACATGGTTTGCTCAAAACATGGGAGGTTTCTTAACAGCCAACGCTGGGATGGTATCACTGCCCAGCAGCATTTGTGTCAATTTATTCAACCTCTGAGAAAAAGTGCCTGAACACTGCGCAGGGATTGCAGCCACCATAATAGTTACACAGAAGAAAGTGAGAACTGTCTATAAATAAGACAACCTGTGAGGGAGTTGCCACTTTGGTGCCTGGATGATGTAACGAGAGTCTCAAAGAATGCAAAGCATGACAGTGTCATAGAATCACTGAATGGTTTGGGTTGGAAAGGACCTTAAAGATCATCTCATTCCAGTCACCTGCCATGGGCAGGGACACCTTCCACTAGACCAGGTTGCTCCAATTTTTTTAATCACTCAAGCCATGAGCTTGAGCCCTTGTAGAGTCAAATTAACCCTTTATCACATAGTGAGTTACACACTGATTTTCCTGTAGCTTATGCCTTGACCTAACTTTTGGATGAAACTTGAAACATGAGATCCAAATAATTAGGAAACCCCAAATCCTTGGGCATCGAAGTAATGTGAATCTAGCTAATTTAGAAATTTAATCTTAAATTTCCCTTTACCACAACAATAAATATCCAAGACTATTTTTCAGTGGGAAGGAAAGGGCAGAGTTTTCTCAGTAGCATTTACTTACACACAGTGGTGAGATTCATGTCCAGATTTGCTGCCACATCTACTGAGTAGGTCCCTGCAGCTCAGTCCTGATGTATCCAACGCTTTTCACCTGAAAGAGGTTTCAGACTGAATGACACTTGAAGTGCTTTAAATCATCATGGTACCTTCCACTAATCACTACCAGCATTTAATGGATTCATTCCTGGAAGCACTTCAACTCTTCTGGGTACCGTAGAGGAGAGGATTCCTCTGGCCACTCCAGCTGACATCATTAGGCAGCTTTAGCTGATGACTGCCAATGGCTCTGTGCACTAAGCAGGCTCCCCCAGAATCAATCTCCAGGGTCACAAAACCCTTAACAACCTCTTCACTGTGAGACTAAATCACAAGTGGGAACATATTGCTCTCCTCTGAGGATTAGATTTCTTAGCCTGCTTTTATTCTGACAATATCACCGTAACACATCATGCAATAAGTTCTTGACTGTGACTCAGGTCACAGGAAAGATTGAGGATGGCTGAACTGGTGTAGAAAAATCTGTGTGCTCACTTTTGCTCAGTCAGAAATAATCTTGAGATCTGTGATTTGCTCTGGTCTGGTGCAGGGCCTGCTCTGTCTTTCAGTGTTACATACAGTGAAACACAGCAAAGGGGAACGTCTTCAATTTTGTCAGGTGTGCTGCATAGTCTTGGTAAGGTCATATGCCCCATGAGATGTGGAATTGCTAATGATAATTTAATAGATTGGCTCACAGATAAACTAAACCTGAAAGCAAATGGAATCCCCAAGAAGCCTCTCCAGCTCAGTCACACGACTCATCCTGGGAGAATCTAGGAGAGCAGATGTGCCCTTTGTGATAACACTCTGAATGTTATCAAATCAAGGTCCTATTGAGCTAAGAAGTGAAAGGACTTGCAGAGCTGAGAAGGAACTCCTTATGGAAATGCCTTGCCAGCAACCCTCTTTTTTTTTTTTTAAATCAAAGTACCGTCAGCTCTCATGCATCTGCTGATTGCAGCTGTCACAGTGTCATCCAGAGAGAAAGGTGAGCCCTCGGTGACTCAACACATGAACGTCAAACATTAGCACTGCACACACTGGAGGAACATCACATTGATGCACCTGTTTTGCACTGTTGGTGGGGAAACTGAGAATTCAAGTCTCAGTTAACTGCTGTGCAGTTAAAGTCACATGTCTTAAAAAAAGGGAGCAGAAAGAGGATAAGAATCTCTTTTATAGGGGCAGCATTTTCAGCTGTATCTTATTTATCAAAAACCGTAACTGCTGTTTTCTTGAATGTCAAAAGGCCTATTAGGATGTTCCAATCTCCAGTTTTTTACTAAAAATCGTTGCTGTATCTTGCCCACACAATGGTCTATGGCATATTAACACGGTTTAGTAAATCAAATTTAAATTCAAAATTAACACTATACTTACAGCACAGGGACTTGAAGAAGAGTGCAGTGGGATATGCTAAAATTCAAAGGGATCATTTATGGGATTATTAATCACTTAGATGTTCCTCTACATTACTTTAGGTCTAGTGTATCACAGAAGACACAGGACTTGCTCACAGTCAGTGGTAATAAAAGCAGCCAACAGATCTGAAAAGCTGCATCAACATTTTATCCTAAACAATTGCTCCAGGAAGGCTGAGCTAAAAACTTCAGGCAAGCTGTCAGTAGCTAATATTAGCCTACACATACAGAAAAATTTTTAATTTCAGAGCAATTTTCAAAGACTGCAGAAAATGTTCTTTAGGCTGCAGAGAAAATCCGACAGTTTGGTTTTGTGCTGATGCAGCTGCAACTGCTGTTTGCTAGATCATATCTCAGCTTGGTCATTGCAGTATCAAAGTATGATTTTATAAACCTTTTAACTCTTGTGTAAAACACACTATACATGCTAATGGCTTCATTTGACTACTGTGGCTTTGTCATTTTGCTGCAGCTGGGTGAAGGTACTATATACTGATATACTCTCATATGTTAAGCAACCCCTTAATGGAATACATTGCCTTGGAGTCTTTAGTCTTTATGAAAAAAAACCTTATCACTGCCCAGAGAACTATTTTGTGTGCAGTAATTATGTAATATTAATGAACAGTGTTACATACAATTTTTTTCTAGCCCTATTCTTTGTATGGAATGTACTTCAGAATGACCTGACACTGCAAAAATGCCTCTAGCTTCCATGGCTCATGTAAAATACAATAAATACGTAAATAATTTAGAAGAGGAAATAGGTGGTGTTGCAAAGGCAGTGGCATTCTTACCACTGTGCTTCAAAATCTGCTGATGTGACCTTTGCAAACCCATTTTTCTTTTTCCATTTAAGGATACTGCTTCCTCAAGATGGACAAAAGAAATTCCACACAGACACGGAGTTTTAGAAGGCCAGTTTGAAGGCTCACTTTATAATTTTCTTTCTGAAATTGTAGAAGGAAAAAAGCAC